TTAGTAAAATTGATTTTTCTCAACATAAAAAAGAAAAGGAAAAAAGGACATGTAGTTTGATCACAGGTGATATGATGAATGGAATGAGATAAAATAATTGACTCTGTTACTCACGTAGAAAAACTAGATAGGTTTACAAAATCGACCTATACGCATCATAGTCGACACAATTCGAAGCGCCACTATTAATAGAGTTTTGGATCTAGAGTCGCTTTAACAACTTGTCTGTACTCAGCTTTTGATGCTGAATCTGAAAAAATTATTTTCAGAAGCTCAAAAAATGAACGAAGTAGAAAATTTCGCACATTTTGGAAAAGATGTGTGTTTTAACGAAAACGAAATCCTTCAAGTATTTCGTATTTTTCGACTGGAAGAAAGCATTCACTAAGGCTAAAAAGTAGATTTCCATGATCAGCAGCTCAAGCTCTATCAGATGATGTAAAAAAATCGAAAAGAAATTTTTACTTGAATTTCGCGTTTCCTTAGAGCTGATAGATCTCGATGAGTAGAGCAAAAGTTGTCATAGACTCAAAATTCCCAAATGTTGTCCTGCAGAAGTATCGGGATCGCAAGGGCTAAAAGTGACCCCTCTTATCGCCTCCGTTTCTCACTCACAATATGTAGGATAGAGCTGAAAATCTTTTTATAGATACTAGACGCTGTTTGGGGTGCCTATTTTTTTTGGTTTGTTTTTATGCCCTTCTGTTCGAAAAAAACACCAAAATCCTGAGAATACTTTCAAAGAATCATATTTTTTTTTATCCGATCGTTTTTTGTAAACCCTGGCGAGAATCAGTAGTATATTATATTTTAAAACGAAAAAGAAAAAGTAGACACCGTAGACATCTTCTAATATTGAGTAGAAAAAAGTTTCAGCTCGATCGGATGTACTGTGGTGACGGAGAAACGGAGGCAATTCTCTAACCTTTTTGTGAAAAATTCGTTTTTTCAGAAACAGCGAAATAAAGTGAAAATTTTGATGCTTTTAAGCGAAAATCTTCAATCTTTTCGGATTTTTATACCTATATATTACTCCTTGAAATACGTCCAGTAGATAGAGAACATTTTGAGTTGGACAAGGAGGACGTACTCTTCAAATATCGCCGTACGTTCACAGATCTTTTCCAGATTTAGTAACAGAAAGAAATCAAATATCATATAGGATATTTCTTGTCATCATTTCGAAGAGAGATTCTGTGTTTTTTCGATTAAGAAAATAAATCGAAAAAAGAAACGCAAACAGAGATAAGAAAAAAAAGTACCGCAACAAGCAGAGTAAAGCGAATGATGTGAAGACATGTAGATTATGTGATACAACTATATCATAGCATAATTTACATAGAATACCTTCGATTCTTTTTTTTTTCATTATTCATCAAAAAATATAACTGCCAAGATCAATATACTCATTGTATTTATATTGTCGAGTTTCGACAAGGAATAATTTTCAACCTGTGTCATTTTCAAAGTTTACTTTTATTTGATAAAAATCTTTCAACAATAAATAATTTGAATAATTCAAATTCAATGGCTGATCATTTAATTGATATTTCAACAACCTTTTCATCCCGGAATAATCGAAAAGATAGTAATTATGTCAGTAAATTTTTCTTTTTCTTTTTCTTTTATCGTTTTTCATACATATCTTCAATATTTTATAGTTAATCGACGCACTTGGTGTTAAATCCTACGGAACAATTATTTGTAAGTATTCTTCTGATCATCTATATATAGATATCAAATATTTGATCACCAGTTGACCATAATCAATCAAACAGAGCCAATTTTATCCGAATACCATCGGATGCATCAACATTATATGTTAAACAATTACTTGTTCGACGATGTCAAAATAAAGTAATCAGAATATGTTTAAGACATTTCTATGAAATTTTATTCGATCTTAGCGTCCATCACTTGTTATATCAGTAACTGGCAGTACGAAAGAATATAGTATGAAATCAAAATTATTTCGAATATTTCGTCAAGGTCTTCTTAAAGTGGCCAAAACAACTGGTTATATTTTATCATAATAAATTATTTCAAATCGTTGTTGTTTGATTCTTTAGATATTTGGATAATCACAGGTGGTGTTAATACAAGTATTACAAAATTAATCGGAGAAATAATTCGAACAAATCCCGATCCATCTCATCCTATTCATTTAATTGTAAGTTATTAATAGAGTTATAAGGAATATTTCATGCGAAATCTAAAGGGTATTGCTCCATGGGGATGTATATCGGGTGTTGAACAACTTGATGTTCATGGAACAAACGTTATTTATGTGAAATCGAAAACTGGTCAAAATAATGAAATATCTCTGGAACCAAATCATACACAATTTATTTTTATTGATGATGGAACTACACATCAATATGGAGGTGAAATTGAATTTCGTATTCGATTGGAAAAAGCTTTTTCAGGAGAATCATTTATATTACAAAATAAACAACAAAATTCATCAGACATAAATCAGAATGATAATAAATCAATATCATCATATTCACAATCAGGTTAAGATATTCGATTGAAAAGGATATTTATTTAATTTTTTAATTTAGACAATATACCTGTGGTTCTTCTTGTCATAGATGGAGAACTTGAGACAATTAAAAAAGGTTTTCATATATTCAATTTTATTTAATGACATTGTTTGTTTTAGTTCATGAGAGTGTTATTAAAAATAAAATTCCTGTTGTCCTTTTGGAAGGTACCGGTGGTTGTTGTGATTTATTTGCTAAATGTTATCATTTATATAATGAATATCATTCGAAATCGCGAACATCTGTTGAAACAAAGTTTGTTGAATTATATTTTTTTTTGTTTTGTTTATTGGTGTTTATAGTGTTGATCAATCATATTTATTGGAAAGAAATGAACAAATAAAGAATAAACTTCGTGAAAGATTACAAACAATTAATGATAAAATAAATATATATCCATTAGATATAGATAAAGAAATGAATTATTTTGAATTAATTTATGAATGTATTGAAAAGCAAATGATACTTTTAAATTTTATTGATTTTAAAGTTCATAGTCATGTTGAAAGAGATATTGATTTAGCCATTTTACAAGCTCTTCTTAATGGTACAAAAAAAAAATTATATTCATCCATTGTATTACACGAGATATTTTAATTCTAGCACCAAATTCTACTGAAATAAATGTTGAACAAAAACTTGAACAATTAAATTTAGCATTAGAATGGAATAGAGTTGATATTGTCAAAAGTTTAATTATGAAAGAGGATCAAGATTGGATAGTAAGTTATAAATTATAATATCAAAATTTTAGTCATGAGAATATAATTATTTAGAAAATTAATTTGAATGATTTATTCTTTAAAGCTCTGATTCGAAATCAAACAAGTTTTGTTCAATTATTTCTTGATCATGATTTTACATTAAATGATTTGTTTAAAAACACTGATCAACTTTGGAAACTATGAAAACGAAGTAACTATGTTATTTTTTACAAATGTAAGTAAAAAAACACTCACATTATTATCTTTAGAACTATATATTAAGACATAATTTTAATGATCCATTACAATCAATATATAAAGATATAATTCAACCACTTATTGGAACTTTTTTTGAAGTTGATGATGTTTTCGATTCAGATGGAATTTCATACAATCATGATCAACATACTGACAATAACATACAATCTGAGGGTTAGTTTATCAAGAAAGAAAATATTTTTCATTTATCATTTAGTCGAAAATATAACGACACGAATGAATCAATATTTGATAGAAAAATCTATAAATATAATTCTTTTATTTTTAGCTACAACATGTTTTCATGCTAATCAAATGGATATTGATAAAGAACTCTTTCTTTGGTCGGTATTGACAAGTAAACATGAATTAGCTTTACTTTTTTGGGCTCGAGGAAAAAATAAAATTTGTAAATATTGAAAAATTATCAAAGATTTTCAATGAATTTTTTTAATAATTAAGGTGCTGCTTTGATTGCAATGTTACTTAATAAAAGAAAAGCACAAAAAGAAAAACATTTAAGATATAATGAATGGGCAGATCAATTTGAAAATTTAGCTGTAGAAATTCTTGAAAAATTTTATCGTATACATCCATCTCAATGTGCCAAAGCAATTATTAGAGAAATTCCACAATTTGGTAATGTTACTTGGTTACATTTAGCGGTTATGGCAGAAGCGAAATTATTTATTGCACAACGAGCTGTGCAAAATGTACTTAATAGTATTTGGTTAGATTTCAGATAAAATTTATTGAGTTTTTGAATATTTCTTAGTTTGAATAGGTATGGATATATTGACCGTCGAATAGGAAATACAAAAATCATATTTTCAACCATAATGCTTTGGTATAGTGGATTCCTTCCTTATCATAAAGAATTAGTTGAAATAAATGACAATATTCACTTTACGAAGGTAAACGATAGACAGAGTTTCATTCGACATGATGCGCCACCGCAATCACAATATATGACTGACAAGTAGAATTATTGATTTGGTATTATTTTTGATGTAATATATTCTATTGGTTTATTTAGATCTATAGATATGGCACAATGTAAATTAATGGAAGATGAACAAGAAACATTGGATTCTAATGTTGATAATACTTCGCTAATAAAGTATATGAATATTTGACCAATTTGCTTTTAGAATTTTTATTGATTAAATTCATCATCATGAATATAATGTAAATTTTTCTATCTTAATAGAAAATCTGGTTTGAAACAATATTGGGAAAATATTACAAAATTTATTGATGCTCCATATGTTAAATATCTGTACAACTTGGTAGGTTATATCGTTTTTTTTTCTCAGTTAAGATCGAGGATTCTGATAGTCAGAAATGGAAAACCTGGAAGAATTTAGGTTATGCCTATTTCACAGAATAATATTTAGAATGAAAGATAATTGATTTATTTTTATTTAATTATAGTATTCTCATGTTATATTTCTTATGTTATTCTCTTATGTTATCTTATGTGATTTTTTTCCATTGTATGAATTTCAATCAGATAAATGTCTTTTGGGTACGGAAGAAAATTTATATCAGGAGATGTTTGTATTTGATTAAAGAAAATCGATTATTTTTTTTTTTTAATTTGAATTATATTTAAAAATAGAAAAAATTCCAATGAATCATTAAGATATAGTCTTCATCCTCGTTCTCGACCATCAACAACTGA